CAGCCACATTATTGTTCCAGCCACAGTATTTTTAGAGCCACAGTATTGTTCGAACCACACTATTGTTCCAGTCACAGTATTGTTCCAGCCACAGTATTGTTCCAGCAACAGTATTCTTCCAGCCACAGTATTGTTCCAGCCACATATGTTCAGCACATATTGTCCAGCCACAGAAATGTTCCAGCCACTTGTTCGCCACAGTATTGCTCCTGCCACAGTATTGTTCCAGCTACAGTATTGTTCCAACCACAGTATTGTTCCAGCCACAGTATTGTTCCATCCACAGTATTGTTCCAGCCACAGTATTGTTCCAGCCACAGTATTGTTCCAGCCACAGTATTGTTCAGCCACAGTATTGTTCCAGCCACAGTATTGCTCCTGCCACAGTATTGTTCCAGCCACAGTATTGCTCCTGCCACAGTATTGTTCCAGCCACAGTATTGTTCCAGCCACAGTATTGTTCCAGCCACAGTATTGTTCCAGCCACAGTATTGTTTCAGCCACAGTATTGTTCCAGCCACAGTATTGCTCCTGCCACAGTATTGCTCCAGTTAGAGTATTGTTCCACCCACAGCATTGTTCCAGCAACAGTATTGTTCCAGTTATCTTTATTATTATTGTCATTATTATTATTATTGTTATTATTATTATTATTATTATTATTATTATTATTATTATTATTATTATTATTATTATTATTATTATTATTATTGCATTAATGATTAATTATAAATTTAATAATAATAATATAATAATAATAATAATATAATAATAATAATAATAATAATAATAATAATAATAATAATAATAATAATAATTATTATTATTATTATTATTATTATTATTATTATTATTATTATTAACCGAGATAATCAGATTTGCATTAATGGAAGGAGATTGGCAGCTGCAGTTCCTCGGATCAAGAGTCCTCCTGTGGCCCCCTGAACCCCAGACCAGGCCTCCATTAGGCCTATGTTCTCTAAGGTAACTAAGGACCCAGTTCTCAAATTCCATTATTCAAATTAGGCAATCAGAGGCTTTTAATTAACGGTGCCTAATCTTCCTAAGCCTATCCCAATCAGGCCCTCTGATTGCCTCTTTAACCTTCGCTAATGAGGGGTTAAATTATAGGCCTATTTACACTCATGAATTGGATATTGATAGGCCTAATTAGTCTGAGGAAATCGCCAGTGCTGTGAAATTACCATTGATTGCCGGCCAGGAGGGAGGTCTTGATCCGAGGAATGTGAGTGGCTTTCACTCTCCCGGAGCTGTGTTATCCCCTTACGGGTTTAGTGCTTCTCTCCCATATGAGTGTAATGTTGATAATGTTTATAGGAAGATGGTTGAATGTGTTTATAATATTATGAAAGCACTTGAAACTTTCACTCAGAACTTTCACTCTGAACTTTCACTCTGAACTTTCACTCTGAACTTTCACTCTGAACTTTCACTCAGAACTTTCACTCAGAACTTTCACTCTGAACTTTCACTCAGAACTTTCACTCTGAACTTTCACTCAGAACTTTCACTCAGAACTTTCACTCTGAACTTTCACTCAGAACTTTCACTCAGAACTTTCACTCAGAACTTTCACTCAGAACTTTCACTCAAATTCACTCTGAACTTTCACTCAGAACTTTCACTCAGAACTTTCACTCTGAACTTTCACTCTGAACTTTCACTCAGAACTTTCACTCTGAACTTTCACTCAGAACTTTCACTCAGAACTTTCTGAATTTGCACTCGAACTTTCACTCGAACTTTCACTCAGAACTTTCACTCAGACTTTCACTCAGAACTTTTTCACTCTGAACTTTCTGCTTTCACTCTGAACTTCACTCTGACTTTCATCAATACTTTCCTCAAACTTTCACTCTGACTTCCTCAGAACTTCACTCTGAACTTTCACTCTGAACCCTTTTATCGAACTTTCATCAAACTTTCACTTGAACTTTCATCTGAACTTCACTCAAACTTTCACTAGAATTTCACTCTGAACTTCACTCGACTTCACTCTGACTTTCACTCAGAACTTCACTAAACTTTCCTTAACTTTCACTCAGAACTTTCACTGATCTTCGCTCAGAACTTTCACAGACTTTCACTCAGAACTTTCATAGACTTTCACTCTGAACTTCCTCAGAACTTCCTCAGAATTTCACTCTGAATTTCATCAGAACTTTCACTCTGAATTTCACTCAGAAACTTTCATAGAACTTACTTGAACTTTCACTCAGAACTTTACTCAGATCTTTCGCTCAGAAATTGCACGCGGAATTTGCATAATTCAGGAGAATTTCATATCAGATCGTATCATCATATTTATACTAATTTTCACTCAACTTTCCATTCAACTTTCACTCGAATTTCAATCAGAATTTTAATCGGAACTTTTACTCAAACTTTAATGAACCTTTAATCGAATTTTCACTCAAACTTTCACTCTGAATTGCAATCGAGCTTTACACTCAGACTTTTTAATCGGTACTTTATTTTAAACCGTTCTTTAAATATTATATAAAATATTTTCTTTAAATTCATTAAATACTTAATAACTTCTGTTAAAAACCCATTGAAGCTCCTATTTAAAACTCTCAAACCTTCTCTAGATACAGCGAACTGGTGCCCTCTACTCTGGATCAAAATGCCTTACCAATATTCAGGGGATGATATTTGAATCCTGCGGATTTAACCTTTCCCATAATATGTCGATGATATTGAGTGAGTGCTGAAATTCCGTAAATCAATAATAATAATAATAATAATAATAAATAATAATAATAATAATAATAATAATAACAAATAATAATAATAATAATAATAATAATAATAATAATAATAACGAATAATAATAAATAATCATAATTTAATAATAATAACAATAATATAGTAACATAATAACTGATAATAATTATATTTAAAATAATATAATATAATATTATAATATAATAATAATAATAATAAGATGCTTAAATTAAATAAATAATAAAAAATCATAATAAGCAATATAGTAAAAAGAATAATTTTGTAATTAAATATAATATTAATTTAACAATAATTTACCATTTAATAATAACAATAAGACAATAATAATATTAATACAATAGTAATAATTATGATTATATAGTAATAATAATATAATAATAGTAATAACATATAATAATAATAATAATAATAATAATAATAATAATAACGAATAACGCACATCAGAGGAGTGAAGGTGCGGTAATTTTGTGGAACATGTTAGTAGTAGCGTTGAAACCCGAAGCAGAGGTGCGTAGGTGTGTAAATATTGTGTAATTTGTAAATTGAAGAGTAAAGCACACACCAGAGGTGCTTAATTGTGTAAATATGGTAGTAAATATCAGTGTAAACCTCGTAACAGAAGTGTTTGTGTGTGTGTAAATATTGCGGAATCTGTTTTCCGCTTGTCTTCCTGTTTTATCACTGACGAGGTTGTGTTTACTTACCGTGTGTGTGTGTGTGTGTGTGTGTGTGTGTGTGTGTGGGTGTGTGTGTGTGTGTGTGTGTGTGTGCTCACCTAGTTGTGGTTGCAGGGGTCGATTCATAGCTCCTGGCCCCGCCTCTTCAATGGCCGCTACTGGGTCACTCTAAAGCTATGAATGGATCCTGCTTCCACTACGTCGCTTCCCAACTATTCCACTTCCTGACTGCTCTGTAACCGAAGAAATACTTCCTAGCATCTCTGTGATTAATCTGAGTCTTCAACTTGCAACTGTGTCACCTTGTTGCTGTGTCTCATCTCTGGAACATTCTGTCTGTTCACCTTGTCAATTTCTCTCAGTATTTTATATGTCGTTATCATGTCGTCCCTATCTCTCCTGTCCTCCAGTGTCGTCAGGTTGATTTCCTTTAACCTCTCCTCGTAGGACATACGTGTGTGTGTGTGTGTGTGTGTGTGTGTGTGTGGGGTGGTGTGTGTGTGTACTCACCTAGTTGTACTTAACTAGTTGAGGTTGCAGGGGTCGAGTCCAAGCTCCAGGCTCCGCCTCTTCACTGGTCGTGAGCTTTATCATACCTCTGCTTAAAGCTATGTATGGATCCTGCCTCCACTACATCGCTTCCCAAACTATTCTACTTCCTGACTACTCTGCGGATGAAGAAGTACTTCCTAACATCCCTGTGATTCTTGTGTCTTCAACTTCCAACTGTGTCCCCTTATTGCTGTGTCCCATCTCTGGAACATCCTGTCTTGTGTGTGTGTGTGTGTGTGTGTGTGTGTGTGTGTGTGTGTGTGTGTGTGTGTGTGTGTGTGTGTGTGTGTGTTGTGTGGTGTGTGTGTGTGTGTGTGTGGTGTGTGTGGTGTGTGTGTGTGTGTGTATGTGTGTGTGTGCGCGCGCGCGCGTGTGTGTGTGGGTGGTGTGTAGTGTTATTTTGGAGAATGCTTCTCCCTCTGTCTGATGTCTCTCTCTGTCTCTCCTCTCTCTCGGGTCTCGGCTAGCAATATTCAGGCCTAACATGATAATATTTACTCTCGTCACGCGACCCTCCCATAATCATATTACATCCAGGTCACAGTTTGACCGCCCGACGCCGCGGATCCGAACGAAAGCAATCTTGCTGGAGTAACGAACCCAGAACACTCTAGCTGGCTTAACGAACCTAAGTCCCCTTGCTACCTCAACGGACATAAGCCCTCTCGCTGGCTTACCACACACTTGGACTCATGTTTCTTTAACAAACCCAAGTCTCCTCGTTACCTCATCGAACATGGGACTTCTCGCTGGCTTAGCGAACACAACGCCTCTCGTTAGGTTAGTTTAAGTGAGGTTGGATATCAGGAATATTGGGCGAGAGGCTCCATTTAAGGTCGGTCCTCTCTCTCTCTCTCTCTCTCTCTCTCTCTCTCTCTCTCTCTCTCTCTCTCTCTCTCTCTCTCTCTCTCTTTTCTCGGTTATAACAAGTCCGTGCAGAGTCGAGTACGTGAAACAGTAATCCTTCACAAGCCTTCAACCCAGATTTCGTTCGGCATTTTATTTTGGTTTGCGAGAGTCATCCAATTCTCTCGGATGGCGGGGAAATAAGCAATATGTACCAGCAAGACCAAGGGAGTTTATCACTGCCGGCCATTTTTGTGTGAAAGATAGCAAAATATAGATTTACATAGATATAGCAATGCTTAACCAAACTACACGATAGGGAAGGGGGATCAAACTGCATTGCCCCTAATTTTCCATCCCAACTGTGAAAACGTTTCGCTCTATGTAGAACGAAATATCGAAATAATAACTTGTTTTGTCCCCGTCATCTCTTTATTACCGTCGACAAAATGCCTTTGTATCCAGTAGTAAAAATAACCAAATTACGTCACAAGTTTGGTTTACCAACCTGTGGCTCATACGTGAAATGATTGTGTTAAGAACATCTCTACTTTCTGGGCTTAGACCTTTAACTCTGATGTACGTATATTATATAAACTGTTCGGATTATTACAGTTGCTGGCTCTCTTAAGGGTGTCGAGAGACAATTCTTGAAGCGTTTCGAGGATGTTAAGCTAAAGGTGCTAGACCTCTCCAGTGTGTTGCACTAAGATTTCTGGTGTTTTTTAAGGTAATATAAATATTACTTTCATAGTGGGGTGGTTTTAAAATACTGCCCCTGGGGAAATGAGAAGCAACCAGGTTCGATCCCGGGAGAGGAAAGACAAGTTCAGTTCCTAGAATCGTGAGTGTCTCACCAAGCCCTTTCCTTGGAGGAAGGGCCTTCTAGGTGTTGATGTTCATCTCCTAGACCGCTTGGGTGGTTTGAGCTATTAGCTCCTATTGTCTCTTCTGGGAGCTTTGCTGCAGCTTCCCTGCCTCTTGGGAGTCCGCAGGTTGAGGCCAAGGGAGCTGAGGTAATGTATATAAGGATAGGTTTCTCAGATCGCGTAGCGACTGAAATGCAGCTAATTACATAAGTTTTTAGGAAACTCTGACTCTGTGGAAAAAAAATCACATTCAGTATTTGGGTATATACACCGAAAGATAAGCATCTTCAGTGAGAGTTTAATTTACTCTCCATTTTAAGAATAAAATAATTTTTTATATTAAGTGTACAGGCGAACTGCAGGATTAATGTGTTATATGTAGTCCACAGGCTTTAAATCTAACGAACTTATCACACATTACGTTTACCTCTTTCAGTTCCATGTTCTGAAATATATATGAAGAGTTTCTAAGATCGAGTATTATTACGATGATGTACAGAATATTATTTGACGAGTCGTGATTATGTATTGACAACATAGCGAGCTGTGATTGTCATATTGCAAAGACAAAAAGCAATCTATTTATAATAAAATATTTAGATATGATAGCTTCACACTGTTTATTATCGACAACTACGGAAGTGATTTGTATTTGAGAGTTTCACATCTAACCTTTTCTATACGCTTTATTATTCGAATAATTAATCAGGCAAAAGTATGGTCGAGCTGCTTGACTCTGCCAAACACATGGGTGGAGTTAGTTTGGAACAAGCAGGTGCGTGTGACCCGCCACCATCCTGCGAAGTAAAGACGGGGAGTTTAGTCTCTGCTTCTCCACTATCCTCCACCTCCTCTCTGGTGGTTGAAGTGGGCGATGACCGGCTTGTCTCGCCGCTCTCGTCGTCGATGAACTTGAACTCGAGAGGATTGGTGTCCACGCTGCTCAGAGATGAGGTAGGTGTTGTGTTTTTCTCTGTCGCCATTGTTCCCTCAACTCCCTGGAGCAACTTCCTCAATCCGAGGTCGACCTTCATGCCGTTGTGTAGTTTGTCCTGGAGAATCTGTTAAGGAATTTATAAACTCTGCATAAGCAAATTTAAAAATAAAAAATATTTCTATTTTTCCCTGTAAATAAATACTGTAAAAACAGTTAACTTACGACAATATACAGAAAAAATAAACCAACAAAATATACATTCAAATATAACAGCCTAACACGGTACTGGTGGTAACGGACTTCCAGGCCAGCTGGCCAAGTAGCTTACGCTGCGAGTTCGAGCCCCACCAGTACCGTGATTTGTTTGCAAATGAGTTATTACGATTTCGTGAGTCATAACAGCCTAATCTGTCTGACTTTTTTGGGTTATCCTTGGTTCTCTACACATATGCTACTATGTATGATAATCTATGTAACTGTATTTGTGTATACCTGAATAAACTTGCTTACTTACTTACTATCAATATAAAAATAGAGGAAAAAACTGTGTGTGAAGGTGAACTGCCGGTGCAAACTAGGATGACGTTCCACAGCCTCAGCAACACAGAATTGTTTTAGTCTCTCCCTACCTGCGTTAATGCTTCTCTTTATCCTGTCAGTGCCAGCCCTTTATCCCATCATTTATTTTTCTCCTGCAAGCACGTTGGCTTATCCGCTTTCATTCTGCCTCAAATGTATTGCATAACTACGGGCTTTTCTTATGCATTATTTAACAATATTGAATGTAAAAACCATGTAATGTCACGGACCCCAAACTTTAATTTATCTGCGTCTTCCCTTTATCACGTTATCTTCTCCCCTTCTGTAGTCTCTTCCTTTATTCTGGCATCACTAATTGTCGCCTCTTATCCTGGTATCACCCATCTTCTCTTGAGCGCTTCTTCTTATGGAACTATTCTACTTCAGTTATTCCCCTTTCATCGTACATGTTCGCTCTCTTACAATCTTACATCATTTGATTATTCTTTCTATATCTCTACCAAACTGGACATCTCGTATTTTCTTGCCGATTCATCAGTGACAAACACTTCTCTGGCCCAAAACTTCCATTTATTTAGTAATTCTTACCTGGCGATGATTAGATTCCTCTATCACCTTCGTGTCAGGACTCAGAGCAGCAGGGTTGCAGCTATTGCCGAACGCCTGAGCCGCTCGCTTGGTGCACACGATGGGTGAGACGTGCGAATGTTTACTAACGAGGGCGTGGGCGTGGTGATGGTGGGCGTCATTCATAAGTGGGCGTGCCTCCGGAGGGGGACTGAGTGTTAGGTGGTGACGTGGGCTGCGGGCGTACCCATATTGTAGAGTCACCCGTGCGTCCAAGGAGCCCACTCCGTTTTCTTTGAACGACCTGACGGAGGAAGGGATTGACTCAGGAAGGGATTATTAGATGGGTCAGTGGACAGCCCATTCTAGGGCCCGTACTGCGTAAACTGTCAGCGGCCCTATAAAACTACAACAAAAATAAGACGGTGTCACTTGCCAGTAGCCCTATAAATCCTCAACGATAAACTTTTCCCTGTTCATTAGATAGTCAAACGGGTGACTGTAGAAGGTGATATTCCGACTGTATTTTCTAGTAACTCCTCGTTTTCTGTTCTTCGAGAATGAAGAAGAAGAATAAGATGAAGAAGAAATTTTATAACTTTTATCTTGGAGGGTTAGTAACAAAAGACACATCATGAAAGCCACTTAATCAGGTTTATTTACCTCAAGGGCCTTTGATCTTCTACCCCAGGATGCCACCCACAACACTTGCCTAACACCCAGGTACCTACTTACTGCTAAGTGAACAAAGGTTACTGGTGTAAGGAAACATGCTCAACGTTTCCATTTGGCTTAACAGAAATGCTGCAGCTCAGTTCCTGGGCCCAATATCTGTGTCTGTAATCTTTACATAGCTTCGCTCTGTAAACATTCAGACATTTTCCTGTTTGCTGATGCTGTAAAACTGACGAGGAGAGTAAGAAAACCGAAGACAAGGAAAGGCTCCGAAGGGGCCCGAACAACCTGCAAGATTGGTCAGATAAGCGGCTGACTGAATTCATCCCTGGTACATGCAAGGCCATAAAGATTGGGGAAACAGCAAGAAGACAGGAAACGGAATGTAGACTAGGGAGACAGACGCTGCAGACCTCACTCAAAGACCTTGGGGTGAGTATAGTGACCAGTATATCACCAGAGGCTCACATTAGTAGAATAATCTCTGCAATCAGTGCTTGTCTGGCAAATCTAAAACTAGCCTTCAAGAATCTTAACAAAGAGTCATTCAGTGTCCTTTGCATATACGTGAGGCCCATTTTGGAGTACGCAGATCCATATGGAACCCACACCTGAAAGAGTATGCTAAGAAACTGGAGAAAGTACAGAAGTAAGCAATAAGGCTTGCTCCGGAGCTGAGGTGTATGATATACGAGGAAAGGCTAACGGAATTTAATATAACCACTTTTGAGGACAGAAAACGCAGGGTAGTCATGATAATAACATACAAAATACTCATGGGAATTGATAAAGTAGACAGGGACAGGCTGATTGAAAGGTGAGAAACGTGACTTCGGGGTCACAGCTGGAAGTCGAAGTCACAGATGAGCCACAGAGATATCAAGAAGTATTTTTTCAGTGTGGTTGAGAAGTGGAATGATGTTGGTGAGGAAGTGGTGGAGGCTGACTCCAATCACAGTTTTAAGAGAAGGTACGCTAGGACCCCGAGGCTACGAGAGAGTGAATCATGAAAATTGGCAAGTTGAGAGGCGGGACCAGGAGCTGAGAATCGCCCCCTGCAACCACAAATAGGTGAGTAGATGTACACCACACACACACACACACACACACCACGAAAAACATTTCTTCACACTTAAATCCAGTCGGCGCCACGCCTCCGCCTATTCCCTCCCTCCCTCCCATACACTCTGACGCCACTTCTCAATCATCTCCCCCACTCCACACACACACACACACACACACACACACCCTGACGTCAGTCGTGTAGTCGGGTCCCTGGGTGGCATCGGGGAGGGAGTGGACGACTTAGACACCCTCCGGCACACCGACTTGATAGAGGCGGTGTCAGAGCCTCTCCCACCGACCGTGACGGAAGCCACGAAGGAGTGTGCCTGAGGCTGCTGGTGGTACGCACACGGTACGAACGTCAGCAAGAAGGTTCTGCGGTACTGAAACACAAGGAAAAACACAAGCAATTAGCGTCAAAGAGTCAGACAACTAAATTAAGTTTGCTTACTGCAACACTTAAATCACTGACTCATGTATATCAAGAATATTTTAATCTGTATGATGAAGATTAGTGTTTATACCAATTTAAACAATATTATCTGTGTTGGTACGCACTTCCATGTGTATATCCACACCTAGAAGTGTATATATACACACTTTTTGATGCATATACACACCTCTCGATATGGATAAATTGATTTATACTCACGTCTCTTAATGAAAAAAAAATGATCTCACGTTTCATGGAATTTGGGAAAATAATTGGCAGGTCTAGTGTGGCAATCATTTTCCTGTAGCTAGACGATGTTTTGTTATTCCTCTCACCATATATACTGTACACAATGACGAAGAAAAATACACAATACCGTGAATGGATACACGAGTAACCCGCACATATGACGAACTTACGACGACGTTTTGGTCCGACTTGGACCGAAACGTCGTGAATAGAATTCTCTCTCTCCTGTGTGCGGGTTACGTGTGTGTAGTGTACACAGTACTGTACAACCTTCAATGTACAATACATAGCGACACAACTTTTACCGTATATTAAATTACTTTAGTCTCCCTTAGCATGGAAAAAAAAATGTTTACCCTCTCAAAGAAATATCTCGGATAAATAATCTTGATCTTATCTTTCCCGATCCTCCACCTGGGCGCTAATTATCAGCCTCTGTTGTGGTTCCTCTTTACTCACTTCTTCTTTCTGTGCCTTGACGGTATTCGCTGGAGAATTAGACAGATGTGCAACATCTGTAGACGTTCCGCCATCCAGTGGCTAGATGGACGTTCCGCCACGCAGTGGCTAGATGGACGTTCCGCCATCCAGTGGCTAGATGGACGTTCCGCCATCCAGTGGCTAGATGGACGTTCCGCCATCCAGTGGCTTGATAGACATTCCACCATCCAGTGGCATGATAGACGCTTCGCCATCCAGTGGCATGATAGACGTTCCCCCATCCAGTGGTTTTTATCAAAACAATACTAAGACATAATGTTAAGACTGTAGCAGTATATACAAAGAGGTGGGAGGAGTATTCGCTCCTTTCATATATATTTTTCTTTCGCGGTGCAACAGGTAAAGATACCCAGATGCAACACCTAGGTATCTTTATTGATTAATAAGACACAGGTGCAGCACCTGAGTATCTTTATCGCCGAAACGAGGTTAGACAAAAAGTTCAAACCGGAGGAAAACAAACAAAGCGATAAACCCAGATAGAATGTGAGGCGGGACGATTAAAAACCTGTGCGCTACGAGGCGCTCTGGACCAGGCGATATACAGTGGACCCCCGCATAACGATTACCTCCGAATGCGACCAATTATGTTAGTGTATTTATGTAAGTGCGTTTGTACGTGTATGTTTGGGGGTCTGAAATGGACTAATCTACTTCACAATATTCCTTATGGGAATAAATTCGGTCAGTACTGGCACCTGAACATACTTATGGAGTGAAAAAATATCGTTAACCGGGGGTCCGCTGCTTCTGAGAGACGAGAACAGACAAATAACAATCTCGGAGGCAACCTATCAGAAAGCTCCCTCCTGACAACAAATAAAAAGGATTGGGCGAGAGAGTAAGCTTGAAGCTAAGATTGTGAGCTTCACGGAATCGAAGTTTTTACCGTGGTTCATGCCGGAACTGTGTTAAGGTCCGCTGGTTAGGAATCATGAGCCCTCAAGGAAGGCTCCTTGATGCTGGTGAGGGGTTCTTGATCTAGGGAATTGGATCTGGGCTCCAGTTCCCTGAATTAATCCTGAATAACTCCCATCCCCCACAGGCGCTGTATGATCCTATAGGTTTAGCGCTCCCCCTTGATAATAATAATAATAATAATAATGATAATAATAATAAGAAGAAGAAGAAAAAGAAGAAGAAGAGGAAGACGAAGAAGAAGAAGAATCATGAGAGAGAGAGAGAGAGAGAGAGAGAGAGAGAGAGAGAGAGAGAGAGAGAGAGAGAGAGAGAGAGAGAGAGAGACTGCTTGACAGTAGAGAACAGAACAAGACGTCTCATCTCTCGCCTGGACCAGTCCTGGATAGATCTATCATTTCAGCAGAGCCTTCAACACAGAAGGGATGTGGGTGGTCTTACTGTTATGTACAAGACCAATATTGTCAAAGTACCACACTTGGATCCACTTCGAGGACAGCATGAAGCAAGCTTCTATACCACAAAACGGGCAGAAAGCAGCACCTTCACTTTGATTGTGCCCTTCTCCAGAACATCACTTCATCTGAGATCATTTATCCCCAGGATGATTCCAGTATGGAACACATTCGTACAGCATTATGATGTCAACGAGATAAAGTCAATTGATCAAATGAAAATGCTGGCCCACAGATGGCTCCAACTTCATGCTGTTCCCTACTTGTATGTCTCTTAACAACAAAAATGCTCTCAAATGAGCTGATATAGGTAACAGCTCTTAGCTTGTCAATAAAGTTAGGAATCCTTAACCTGTAAATAGCTTGTCAATAAAGCTAGGGATCCTTAACCTAACCTTGTCAAACCCTGTGTAAAGAGAGAGAGAGAGAGAGAGAGAGAGAGAGAGAGAAGAGAGAGAGAAGAGAGAGAGAGAGACTGATGATTATTATTCTCGCGGAGTTGTTCTTGGTCTTGTACATAACAGTAAGGCCACCCACATCCCTCCTATGTTGAAGGCTCTGCTGAAATGACAGATCTATCCATGATGGGTCCAGGCGAGAGATGAGACGTCTTGCTCTGTTCTCTACTCTGTCAAGCAGTCGCAGATGAGAGGGGGGGGGGGCAGGCAAACCAAGAAAGTGGAGCATACTCAAGGTGCGAGCGTACTTGTGCCTCGTACAGAATCTTGCAACCCCTACTGTCAAGCAGATGCGAGATACGGCGAAGTACTGTAAGCTTCCTGGCTGCCTTGTTTGCAAGATTTACATGGTTCTTCATGGTTAGTTTGGAGTCAAATTTCACCCGAAGGATATCAACTTCTTCCCCAGGTGCCAACACCCTCCCATTCATCCTTATTACTGCACCGGAATTGCCATCATGTTGCCTAGAGACCATCATCATTTGTGTTTTCTCGGGTGCAAATATTACTTGCCATCTGTTTCCCCAAGCTGATATAGCTCTCAGCTGGTGATTGATATAGCTTAGAGTAGCTGCCGTTTCTTCTCTTGGATAAGTGAATGTCAGTGTACAGCCGTCTGCATATGCATGTGATTCTGGGATGAGATGAAGAAGGTCGTTGAAGTAGACATTCCATAACAATGGACCCAGCACGCTTCCTTGTGGAACACTTGCCCCAATAGGATGTCTTGCTGATTCCGTTCCATTGAGAACTACACTTAGAGATCTACCATGAAGGTAGTCACTGAGGAGACATAGCGTAGAACCTGCAATTCCCAGAGCTTACAGTTTTGCTAAGAGGCTCTCTCTCTCTCTCTCTCACCTCTCTCTCTCTCCAATCTCTCCTCTCTCTCTCTCCTCTCTCCTCATCTCTCCTCCTCTCTCCCTCTCTCTCTCCTCTCCTCTCTCTCTCTCCACTCCTCTCCTCTCTCGCTCTCTCCTCGCTCCTCCTCGCTCTCTCTCGCTCTCTTCTCGGCTCTCTCGCTCTCTCTCGCTCTCTCCTCATCTCCTCTCTCTCTCGTCATCTCTCTCCTCTCTTCCTCTCTTCCTCCTCTCTCTCTCCCTCTCTCTCTCCTCTCTCTCACTCGTCCCTCTCTCTCTGCTCTCTCACTCTTCCTCCACACAAAACCTCAACTATCAGCACGTCATTTAGTCTATCAGAAAACCATTTACTCCTATTTCAGAGCCGACGTTTATTTCAGCTGAAGCGGCATTTTTATGTGGTCACCGTCATCACCTACCTGGGGTCGAGGCGGATGGTGTGGTTTGCGGCCTCCCATCCCAAGAATCAAAGCTAATCCCCTTTAACATAGCCAAAACATGATTACCTCAAATTCTCCAACCGTTATATGACCCCCGTAAAGATTCAGACTTCCCCCATATAATAATAATAATAATAATAATAATAATAATAACTAATAATAATAATAATAATAATAATAATAATAATAATAAATAATAATTAAATTATAATAATAATAATAAAATTAATAAGAACAATAATAACACCAACAATAACAACAACAACAACAACAACAACAATAATAATAATAATAATAATAATAATAATAATAATAAAATAATAAACAATAATAATTATAATAATAATAATAAAATTAATAAGAACAATAATAACAACAACAATAACAGCAACAACATCAATAATAATAATGGATAATAATAAATAATAATAATAATAATAATAATAATAATAATAATAATAATAAATAATAATAATATAATAATAATAATAAAAATTAATAAGAACAATAATAACAACAACAATAACAACAACAACAACAACAATAATAATAATAATAATAATAATAATAATAATAATAATAATAATAATAATAATAATAATAATAATAATAATAATAATAATAATAATAATAACCTATCCAATTTTTTACCAAAATCTAATTTTTCTCCTTTCACTCATAATAATCATTAATAATAATATTATTCCAACAACGATGAAATAATATCTACAAAAAAATATATTAATTTTTCCCCCACCCTCGACTTCAATAAAGTAATTCTTTTTCAATTTAAAAAATCTCAAAATCTAAAATTTCACTAATGAAAATAATTTTTCATCAGACGCCGTATATACAACTCAATAGATTATTTTGTGTGCTAGCACACCATGCTTATATCACAGTCTAAATTATGATCTAAATCTAAATGATAATTGGATCTAAATCTAAAGATAATGATAATTGAATCTAATTCTAAATATAATGATAATTGAATCTAAATCTAAATATAATGATAATTGAATCTAAATCTAAATATAATAATAATTGAATCTAAATCTATAATGATAATTGAATCTAAATCTAAATATAATGATAATTGAATCTAAATCTAAATATAATGATAATTGAATCTAAATCTACATATAATGATAATTGAATCTAAATCTAAGTATAATGATAATTGAATCTAAATCTAAATATAATGATAATTGAATCTAAATCTATAATGATAATTGAATCTAAATCTAAATATAATGATAATTGAATCTAAATCTAAATATAATGATAATTGAATCTAAATCTAAATATAATGATAATTGAATCTAAATCTAAATATAATGATAATTGAATCTAAATCTAAATATAATGATAATTGAATCTAAATCTACATATAATGATAATTGAATCTAAATCTAAATATAATGATAATTGAATCTAAATCTAAATATAATGATATTGAATCTAAAATCTAAATATAATGATAATTGAATCTAAATCTAAATATAATGATAAGTGAATCTAAATCTAAATATAATGATAATTGAATCTAAATCTAAATATAATGATAATTGAATCTAAATCTAAATATAATGATAATTGAATCTAAATCTAAATATAATGATAATTGAATCTAAATCTAAATATAATGATAATTGAATCTAAATCTAAATATAATGATAAGTGAATCTAAATCTAAATATAATGATAATTGAATCTAAATCTAAATATAATGATAATTGAATCTAAATCTAAATATAATGATAATTGAATCTAAATCTAAATATAATGATAATTGAATCTAAATCTAAATATAATGATAATTGAACCAAATTCTTAATGATTATTTAACCTACGTCTAATTATAATTGAACCTATATCTAAATTTAATGATAATTGCACGAAAATTTAAATGATAATTTAATTGAATCTAAATGTAAACTAAAACTGAACCTAAATCTAAATATAAGGATAATTATACCTAAATCCAAATCAAATGATAACTGAGACTAAATCTAAATCTAAATGATAATTTAACCTAAATCTAAATCTAATGATAATTGAATCTAAATCTAAAGGATAATTGAACGTAAATCTAATTATAAATGATAATTTCGTTTAAAAGTGCGATAATTAATTTATTGTTTTGATATCTTCAGTTTTTTTCAACATTCAGAAATTTTTAAAGGACGGATCTGTTGTTGATTTTTTTACAATGAATTAAAAATGTCTCAAAAAATATTTGAATGTTCTCAAAATAAACATTGACTCGTGTGTGTGTGTGTGTGTGTGTGTGTGTGTGGTGTGTGTGTGTGTGTGTGTGTGTGTGTGTGTGTGTGTGTGTGGTGTGTGTGTGTGTGTGTTGTGTGTGTGTGTGTGCGTGTGTGTGTGTGTGTGTTGTGTGTGTGTGTGCGGTGGTGTGTGTTGTTGTGTGTGTGTGTGTGGTGGTTTTGGGTGTGTGTGGTGTGTGTTTTACGGTGCGCTAGCCCCACTAACCTTGTCAGAGAAGGCGCAGTAGAGGAGAAAGTTAGCAGCGGCGTTAATGGCGTTGAGAAGGTTGAAGATGTTGCCCAGACCTCTCATTATGGCGAAGGTTGGTTCCGGGAGGGGGTTTTCATACACCGGCTGGTTTTATCCCACCAACACACAGGGAGGCAGCAGGGGGGGCAGCGGGGAGGCAGCAGGGAGGAGCGGGGGAGGCAGCAGGGAGGCAGCAGGGAGGCAGCAGGGAGGCAGCAGGGAGGCAGCAGGGAGGCAGCAGGGAGGCAGCAGGGAGGCAGCAGGGAGGCAGCAGGGAGGCAGCAGGGGCAGAGGGGGGCCGGGGAGGCAGCAGGGAGGCAGAGGAGGCAGCAGGGCAGCAGAGGAGCAGGGAGGCAGCAGAGAGGCAACAGAGGAAAACAGAGGCAGCGGGGACAGAGGCAGCAGAGGCAGCAGGAGGCATCAAGGATCAGAGCACAGAGGGGCAAGGGGCATCAGAGGCAGAAGAGAGGCTCAGAGGATCAGAGGCAGCAGGAGGCATCAGAGGCAGGGAGGAGCAAAGAGGCATCAGAGCAGCAGAGGGCAGGAAAGGGAGAAAAAGTACAGGAAGGGGGGAAAAACATTTTAAAAATGGAATGAGATAAATGAAGACGAAAAAGCAAAAAAAAAAAAAGGGAAAGGAAAGGGAGTGGGAAAAAAAAAGGGGAAAGGAAGAAAGGAAGGAAAAAAGGGAGGATATGAAGGAAATGGGAATAAATGAATGAATGAAGGAGGGGGGAAGGAAAGGAAGGAAGGGAAGGAAGGAAGGAAAAAGCAGTGCGGGGAGGAAAGCGGAAGCAGGTTGGAGGAAAATATAATTCATAAAAATCATTCGGGTTTTTTAAGATGCAAAGAATAAAAAATAATTAGATAAATGCTTTAATGGTGGATGAATTGATTGACAGATAATAGAAAATGAAATGATGGAAAAAGTAATAGTAGTTAACTGGGTACACACACACACACACACACAACACACACAGGATTTTTAGAATGGGGCACAGAAACGGGGGCACAATTGGAAATTTGAAAGACTCAGATGAGTCAAAGGGAGTTTGGGGAAATATTTTTTCAGTCATAGAGTCGTCAGGAATGGAATAATTGGAAGTGATGCAGTGGAGGCGGGAACCTACATAGCTTTAGACGAAAGGTATGATAAAGTCATGGAGCAGGGGGATAGAGTGAGTAAAGTAAGTGCGTAAGTAGTTTATTCAGTTTCATAGAAATTATCATACAGGCTATGTGTAGAGAACCCGGTAACACAAAAAAGTCAGAGTGACTTTTTCCATTGGGGGGCCCTTTAATTTCCCTTGGGTCCTTTAACCCTGGGTCCTAGCAAACAGTTAAGAGGCGGGGCAGGGGTATGAATAACCCCGAAAACAAATGGTGAGTATAAATAAATAAATAAAAAATATATATTATATATGTGTGTGTGTGTGGTGTGGTGTGTGTGTGGTGGTGTGTGTGTGTGTGTGTGTGTGTGTGTGTGTGGTGTGTGTGGGGTGTGTGTGTGTGTGGTGTGTGTGTGTGTGTGTGTGTGTGTATGGTGTGGGGTGTGTGTGGTGTGTGTGGGTGTGGGTGTGTGTGTGTATGTGTGTGTAGTTGTGGGTGTGTGTGTGTGTGTGTGTGTGTGTGTGTGGGTGTTTTGGGATGGTACTCGCCTATTTATACTCACCTATTTGTGGTTGCAAAGGGCCAAATATAGCCCTGGCCCCCCCTCTTTAAATGATTTCTATGGGTCCCCTCTCTCCCTTTCTCCATGAGCCCTTTTCAAACCCTCGTTTAAAAATGTGTAGGTTTTCCGCCTCCAAATACTCACTTCCCGCTATTCCCTGCCTGACAAATTGACTGAAAAAAAATATTCGTAAAACCCTTTGACTTTTGAGTCTTCAATTTTTAATTGTGACCCCCCCTTTTTTCTGTGCCCCCTGTTGGAACATCCCGTGTGTGTGTGCCCCACTGTTTTAAAATTTTAAAATATATATATAATTATATAAATATTTAATATATATATATATATATATTATATATATATATTATAATATATATATATTTTTATAATATATATATATATATATATTTAATATATATATTAAAATTTTTGCAAATATTACGGCTCAGGATCTCTGGCGTTCTACAAGCCATCCTCAGGTACTGTGCGTTGAAAAATGGCGCGTGCTTGGTGTTTGGGGGACCCGAGGTTATTGGAAGCAAAGCGAAATACTCCTAGTACACAACAGCGCCTCACAGAACCCAAAAAATAACATGGGACTCACTTGGAAAGCATTTTGACATTATTTTCCTTTTTTTACGAACGGGTGAATGAGAGATGATCTGTGAGGATCGTGTGTCAGAGGCGAGGTGGGCTGATAACACAGTTAGGTTCACTGTAATTCAAGCTGGGTCGTTGTCTCCTCTATTCTGTCTGTTTGTCTCTCTCCCTCTCTCTCTCTCTCTGTCTCTCTCTGTCTCTCTGTCTCTCTGTCTCTCTCTGTCTGTTTGTCTCTAGTTATGTCTGTTCGTAAAGGCTGATTACCTTCACCTTTCTTCCCTTTTTCAGTGACCAGTCGAAGGATGTAGTGAAGTCAGGCAGTGAAGTCAATGAATTCAGGCAGTGAAGTCAATGACATCAGGCAGTGAAGTCAGTGACATCAGGCAGTGAAGTCAATGACATCAGGTAGTGAAGTCAATGAAATCAGGCAGTGAAGTCAATGAAATCAGGCAGTGAAGTCAATGAAATCAGGCAGTGAAGTCAATGACATCAGGCAGTGAAGTCAATGACATCAGGCAGTGAAGTCAATGACATCAGGCAGTGAAGTCAATGACATCAGGCAGTGAAGTCAATGACACCAGGCAGCGAAGTCAATGACATCAGGCAGTGAAATCAATGACATCAGACAGCGAAGTCAATAACATCAGGCAGTGAAGTCAATGACATCAGGCAGTGAAGTCAATGAATCATGCTCAGATAAAGTCAATGACATCGGACAGTGAAGTCAATGACATCAGGCTGTGAAGTCAATGACATCAGGCTGTGAAGCCAATGACATCAGGCAGTGAAGTCAATGCCATCAGGCAGTGAAGTCAATGACATCAGGCAGTGAAGTCAATGACATCAGGCAGTGAAGTCAATGACATCAGGCAGTGAAGTCAATGAAATCAGGCAGTGAAGTCAATGAAATCAGGCAGTGAAGTCAATGAAATTAGGCAGTGAAGTCAATGAAATCAGGCAGTGAAGTCAATGAAATCAGGCAGTGAAGTCAATGAAATCAGGCAGTGAAGTCAATGAAATCAGGCAGTGAAGTCAATGAAATCAGGCAGTGAAGTCAATGAAATTAGGCAGTGAAGTCAGGCCATTATTCCAAACATTGAAATCAGTCAATGAAGTCAGAAAGAAAGATCAGTCCATGAAGTTAAGGAATGAAATGATACAGTGAAGTCAGAGAGTGCAGTCAGATAATGTCTAAGTCAGCCACTGAAGTCAGTCATGTAGGCTAGGATAGGCCAGACTAAGTTTGGCTAACTTCGGTGCTAACTTATACTAATTTAATGCATAGTTTGGTGGTGAGCTGAAGTTGTAGCAAATAGGATGAACAGGGTATTGTACAACAAGTATGTAATTTTAAAAACAATGGAGACACTTGAGCATAAACATTCAGAACGTTTTATGAACAAGCTGCATAATGTCAACAAACAGAGATGAAACAAAACATAGGCCACAACACAGGATGAACAAAACACTGACAACACAGGATGAACAAAACACTCCAACAACAGGATGAACAAAACACTGCACAACACAGGATGAACAAAACACTGCACAACACAGGATGAACAAAACACTCCACAACACAGGATGAACAAAACACTGCACAACACAGGATGAACAAAACACTGCACAACACAGGATGAACAAAACCATGCACAACACAGGATGAACAAAACACTGCACAACACAGGATGAACAAAACAACAACACTGCACAACACAGGATGAACAAAACACTGCCAACACAGGATGACAAAAACTCACAACACGGATGAACAAACACTGCACAACACAGGATGAACAAAACACTCCACAACACAGGATGAACAAAACACTGCACAACACAGGATGAACAAAACACTGCACAACACAGGATGAACAAAACACTGCACAACACAGGATGAACAAAACACTGCACAACACAGGATGACATCCGTAAAACACTCACAACTCAGGATGAATCAAAACACTGCACAACACAGATAGACAAACACATGCACAGGCATAGGATGAACAAGGCACTACGACATCATGTAGTGCTGAAGACTCGATCCACCGTTCGTTGTGCCTCACCTGTACAGCAGAAGGACAGCAGTGGGCATCTGGCAGAGGAGAGCAAGAATGACCACAGCAATAAGCATGACAGTGATCTTGTGCTCCTGCTGGTGACTGTAGTGATCACGTTCAGATACCATTGTCATCTTCCTCCTATGTAGCTTACTCCTGCAGGAGGATGGAGGGAGGAGGGTTAGTGGAGTCAACTTTCTCTCATTCTATTCCCCCTTTCTCTCATTTTATTCTCACTATCTCTCTCCTCTAAACACACACACTACATCACACACACACACACACACACACACACAACTACAAAACACACAACACACACCACACACACACACACACAACACACACACACACATACACACACACACACACACACACACACACAACCACACACAAATGACTGTACAAACACACTCAAAAATACATTTACTCATTCTCTCTCTCTTTCTCTTTCTTTCTCTCTCTCTCTCTCTCTCTCATAAAGACCAGCCTTAATCACAGGTAATACTTGTCTTAAGAAAGAGTGTCTTGAGACCAGAGGAGCACTGTCTTCATGTGATGCATTGTCTTGAATAAAACCCTTGATTGGTGCTCAGTGTGAGCACTGAGCACCAGTCTCTCTCTCCCTCCCTCCCTCCCTCCATCAGTTCTCCCTCCCCTTTAAGTGTGTGTGTGTGTGTGTGTGTGTGTGTGTGTGTGTGTGTGTGTGTGTGTGTGTGTGTACTCACCTAATTGTACTCACCTAATTGTGGTTGCAGGGGTCGAGACTCAGCTCCTGGTCCCGCCTCTTCACTGATCGCTACTGGGTCCTCTCTCTCTCTGCTTCCTGAGCTTTGTCATACCTCTTCTTAAAACTATGTATGGTTCCTGCCTCCACTACTTCACTTGCTAGGCTATTCCACGTGCTGACGACTCTATGTGTGTGTGTGTGTGTGTGTGTGTCAACGGAAGACACTGCACATTTTAAAAAACAGGTCACATTTCGGTACGTTTCGCTCCTCGCCAACGTTTCACACACTCACGAACACACACACACAGGCAGGATCCATACAAAGCTTTAAGATGAGTTACGATAAAACTCATGGAGCAGGGAGAGAGTAGGCCAAGTAGCAACCAGCGAAGAGGTGAGGCCAGGAGCTGTGAATCGACTCCTGTAACCACAACTAGATGAGTACACACACAAAAAATACAGTAACCCACCTTCTCCCCCTCACCTTCCCCTCGCCTCCCCTTTCCTCCTATTTATCCAACTCAACATTAAAAAAATATTGAGAATGATCATGTAAGCAAACATCGTCACGACGCTCAGCGTTCAGAGCTTCTGGAATAAATTTCTGTCAACACATTCAGGGAGCCGACCAAAATTTCCTGAGGTCTTTTCCGGGAGGAGGAGGAGGAGGAGGAGGTCTGTGTTGGCTCTTTGCCAGGACAGTGTACCTTGTTGGCACTCCTTGGCATCCTCCTTTAGGTGTCTGGCATCCCTTTTTGGCACCCTACTTGAAGTGCCTCTTCCTTGGTGTCCTTTGATACGCTGGCACCTCATAGCAAACCTCCTACCCTTCACTAGCACTCGTTGGCAGCCTCCTACCAGTCTCTGAAACCAGATGGCAGCCTCCTGCTAGTCTCTGAAACCAGATGGCAGCCTCCTACCAGTCTCTGAAATCAGATGGCAGCCTCCTACCAGTCTCTGAAAGCAGATGGCAGCCTCCTGCTAGTCTCTGAAACCAGATGGCAGCCTCCTACCAGTCTCTGAAATCAGATGGCAGCCTCCTACCAGTCTCTGAAACCAGATGGCAGTCTCCTACCAGTCTCTGAAACCAGATGGCAGCCTCCTGCTAGTCTCTGAAACCAGATGGCAGCCTCCTACCAGTCTCTGAAATCAGATGGCAGCCTCCTACCAGTCTCTGAAAGCAGATGGCAGCCTCCTGCTAGTCTCTGAAACCAGATGGCAGCCTCCTACCAGTCTCTGAAATCAGATGGCAGCCTCCTACCAGTCTCTGAAACCAGATGGCAGTCTCCTACCAGTCTCTGAAACCAGATGGCAGGCACCTACCAGTCTCTGAAACCAGATGGCAGGCACCTACCAGTCTCCGAAACCAGATGGCAGCCTCCTACCAGTCTCTGAAACCAGATGGCAGCCTCCTGCCAGTCTTTGAAACCAGATGGCAGCCTCCTACCGTCTCTAACGCCAGATGGCAGCCTCCTACCATCTCTAACACCGGATGGCAGCCTCCTACCTGTCTCTAACACCTTGGCTGAGTCAGTACAGTTGTTACCCTGCAGTTGCGAGTGCACCAGTTCGACCTTCATCACTCCTCGCACAATTCTGACATTTTATAGTCCGATTCTTTGATTTCGGAATATTGAGAATGGAAATAATTTCTTTTTTACCTATCATTCTCGTGACCTACACATTCCAGCAGAATTAGCGTTGGATACACTGTGGAGGGGGGCGGTCAACATTTCGCTCGGTGTAGAGCTGTATCAGGTGCTTATAGGGGAGAAACGTTGCCCTGGTAAGAACCTAACCTAACGTAGCCTAGCCTAGCCTAACCTGTCACAGGGTCACTTGCTTTGGGTTCAACTCCAATCATCCCTCCCCGTTTCCTGGTTTTGTTTACAATCGTGATATCACGATTTCGTGAATGATTCCCAACCTATGTGAGGTATAGCGAGGAAAGGCTGATGAATTAGAGACGTGTATCATTTGGGCATCCTTCTTTGCTGAAGAGTTTCGTCTGCACGGCAGCCTTCTTCAGTTGAATGCAGAGGTGATTTAATACTGGAGACAGTGAAAGGAATGGAGAAGTGATTGTGAGGTGGTCAGTCCCCCTCAGTCTTGATAAAAGGTGATCAGTCCTCTCAGTCTTGATTGGTGTTCAGTCTCTCAGTCTTGATTGGTGTTCAGTCCCTCAGTGATGATTGGTGTTCAGTCCCTCAGTATAGAATGTTTAAAGCATATTTCTCTCTCTCGATGCTTGCCTCTCCCAGAACACTCCTATCTTGACCTGACCTTCCTCCTGCTCTCCCAGAACACTCCTGTCTTGACCTGACCTTCCTCCTGCTCTCTCAGAATACTCCTGTCTTGACCTGACCTTCCTCCTGCTCTCCCAGAACACTCCTGTCTTGACCTGACCTTCCTCCTGCTCTCCCAGAACACTCCTGTCTTGACCTGACCTTCCTCCTGCTTCTCTCAGAATACTCCTGTCTTGACCTGACCTTCCTCCTGCTCTCCCAGAACACTCCTGTCTTGACCTGACCTTCCTCCTGCTCTCTCAGAATACTCCTGTCTTGACCTGACCTTCCTCCTGCTCTCCCAGAACACTCCTGTCTTGACCTGACCTTCCTCCTGCTCTCTCAGAATACTCCTGTCTTGACCTGACCTTCCTCCTGCTCTCTCAGAATACTCCTGTCTTGACCTGACCTTCCTCCTGCTCTCCCAGAACACTCCTGTCTTGACCTGACCTTCCTCCTGCTCTCCCAGAACACTCCTGTCTTGACCTGACCTTCCTCCTGCTCTCTCAGAATACTCCTGTCTTGACCTGACCTTCCTCCAGCTCTCCCAGAATACTCCTGTCTTGACCTGACCTTCCTCCTGCTCTCTCAGAATACTCCTGTCTTGACCTGACCTTCCTCCAGCTCTCCCAGAATACTCCTGTCTTGACCTGACCTTTCCCCTCGCATCACCTGGACTTTTTCACCTCATCTGACTTCTGCCTTACTCACTTCTCTCTGTCTCTCTTTCTCTGTCTCTCTCCGTCGGTCCATGAAGGACAGAAGGCGTCCTTTATCCTCGCTCCGCAGGATGTTTCTGAATTATTTCAGCCATGGAATTAGATTTTTTAGTGTCTTATTTGGCAATATGGCGACCACGGACTCTGCTAAAACAACAACAAGATGATGATGATGATGATTGATAATAATAATAATAATATAATAATAATAATAATAAATAATAAAAATATATAATAATAATAATAATAACAGTAATAATAATAATAAATAATAATAATAATAATAATAACATAATAATAATAAATAACATAATAATAATAATAATAATAATAATAATAATAATAATAATAATAATAATAATAATAATAAATAATAATAACAGTAATAATAATAAAGTAATAATAATAATAAATAATAATAATTAAAAATAATAATAATAATAATAATAATAATAATAATAATAATAATAATAATAACAATAATAATAATAATAACAGTAATAATAATAATAATAATAAAAAAATAATAAAAATTTAAAAATAATAATAATAAATAATAATCACTAATAATAATAATAACAATAATAAAAATAATAATAATAACATAATAATAATAATAATAATAATAATAATAATAATAATAATAATAATAATAATAATAACAGTAATAATAATAATAAATAATAATAATAATAATAATAATATAATAATAATAATAATAATAATAATAATAATATAATAATAATAATAATAATAATAACAATAAATAATAATAATAATAATAATAATATAATAATAATAATAATAACAACAAAACAATAATCTCTATTTCTAAGTAACACGGCAAAAGTTATGTTACTTGTGTTTAATGCTGTTCTAAAACACAACTGTGTTTATGCTTCTACAACACAAACTTGTGTTTATGTATTTATCAACAACACAACTTGTGGTTTTGCTGTTCTACAACACATCTATGTGGTTTATGCTGTTCTACACACAACTTGTGGTTTATGTGTTCTAAAACAACACATCTTGGTTTTATGCTGTTCTACAACACAACTTGTGGTTTATGATGTTCTACAACACAACTTGTGGTTTATGCTGTTCTACAACACAACTTGTGGTTTATGCTGTTCTACAACACAACTTGTGGTTTATGCTGTTCTACAACACATCTTGTGGTTTATGCTGTTCTACAGCACAACTTGTGGTTTATGCTGTTCTACAGCACATCTTGTGGTTTATGTTGTTCTACAGCACAACTTGTGGTTTATGCTGTTCTACAGCACAACTTGTGGTTTATGCTGTTCTACAGCACAACTTGTGGTTTATGCTGTTCTACAACACAACTTGTGGTTTATGCTGTTCTACAACACAACTTGTGGTTTATGCTGTTCTACAGCACAACTTGTGTTTATGCTGTTC